CCTATTAACAGTTTTATTTTCACCTATTTCTTTCACTTTATAAAAATATATAGTGTTTGCCGTACACTTTTTTATCCTTTTGACTTATTTTGACTCTACCCCGAGACTCTTCTAACACTAAATTTATCTTTAGTTGAATTTTTCATAATTTGCTCCTCTTAGTAATTAGAGCTTCTTTGTGGCCAGCTCATTTAATATGTATAGGTAGTTGGTGATGATTAAGGACTGACAGTTGCATTTTCCCACAATCTTATTGGTTGGCCCCACGATACCATTGACTTTTACTTGACCTCACCTCCTAAAAGGTATTTTCATCCACACCGTGCGGCGGTTTCGAGCATGACTGGGACTCTCGGTTGGAATAAATACGAGTCATTCACTCAAACTTTTCGACATTCTACCACTCCACAATGCGGCCAGGGTGCCAGAGCGTACGTGAATTGCAACGCAAGTTAGGCATAGGCCCATATTGTCGATGAGGCAAATTTTTTTTCAGAAATCGACAAAGTTACTTATAAATTCATAGTTAGTAGATGCCTAGACTATACATCAGATCTTGAATAAGATCGGAAGTCTTTCCATTTGTTTTATGCAACTCTTCGGTGTTCTCAGGGTCGGCTAAAGACTAGGCATACGCCTTGCATCGATAGCTCAATTTAGGCCTTTTTCGGGGACATGTGAGGTCTATCCCGCTCCTCCATAATTATGTATTTAACCTTCCAGATACATATTTGACAGCCGGACATGCATGAATGCATATAGAAACACGATCGTGCACATGGGCACATCGATATGCAGGACATTACACATACACACACACACACACACATATATATATATGTATATATATAAAGACAAAAATACAGACATGCATGTGGGCTGGCACAAAATGAACGGAAACTCATACAATGTGCACGACTGCGCCGGTAGACAGATTGAGAGAAAAGTAGACCCTTAGTTGACTGTTCAACCAGGCCATTCCATCCCTGTTTCACTAATCTCCTGTCAGCCGACGACCTGTACACGTCTGTGTGCTGCTTCGGCCCGAGCCATGTGGCGAGATAGCTCCACTGTTCTGTGAATTGTGTACGATCGTACACCTCAGTCCAGCATCGCTTCTGATCCCCGCCAATCAGGCGCCTGGCCTTTTTGTGCTACTATTTTGGCCCTACACTCGAATTTGTCGCTCTTTCGATCTGCACAGCCGAATCGATCGATTCCAAACGCCAAGTCGGTCCTCGCTTGAAGTCTCTCGCCTCGCCTGTCCTGCCTCACTCACGCGCCCAATGGGATGCATGAAAGCCCGATTTTCTCCTTCAGCCAGTCTCCATTCTCCCTCCTTCCCTACTTGGGGCCTGTTTCACTCTGCCCATCTTTCGCCGTAGGCGATATCGATCTCTGCATTTTTTCTTCTTCTTCTTCTTCTTCTTCTGGATTTCGCTTTTCCTGATCCCATTCCCCATCTCTTGTTGCTGGCAGACACGCACTTCAGTCCAGAAAGTAATTCATGCTTGCGCATGTCTACGCACTTGAATGTCGCTCGGCCTAACCGGCTTTTGGGCTACTGCACGGACAGACGCAAATACAGGCCCTTACATTCACACACACACACACACACACACAATCGTATTTACCTTGCACGCATTAACGTCCGTTTAGCATCCAATATGCCTCGTGCGGGCAAACAGCTCTCTGTGTTTGCACTCTTTTTTGGTGGCATCACCTGTGCAAATCGGTCCTCTTAGTTGTGCCTATGGAGCAATAGCGGATCGTCTCTCCAAGACTTCCTACAAGTTCTGTGGTTTCGTTCGACTGAAGTCTTTCAGGAGCTGTCCTACTCCCTTGGGCCGCCTTGCTCATTCTTTGATTCCTGTCTTTGCCCCTCCGGCACTATTTCTTCCCAACTGCTACGCCTCCCGAAAAGAGGGTCCGCAACCCTCGTTCTCTGACATTCATGTCTTCAGCCGGCCGTTCCATGCTCCGTCCACGGGTTGTGCGGACATTACAATGAATCATCCCTTCCCGCAGGCCAACGACTTTTTCCTCTTCATACCCAGGCCTGCTCGTCCAAGTTTCTGAGGGAGACTCGACCATCGGCGTCGGCCAGCAACAGCTTTTCAGCGGAGGGCGTTTAGTCATAAGGGCAACGGTTTTTAAACTGTCCTTCCTCTCATCATATTTTCGGTTTTTGGCCCCGATTTCCACTATTGTCTGCCTTTTTCGTTTGAGTATGTGAGCCTTGGTTTGGTCATGCTCTATCGCTTCCTTCTGACCGCCTTAATCTGCTAGGTCTGCTCTTGTAACGCGGATTTTGCATATGAACATGCCTATTCATCCCAGGGGCCTTAGATCGCCCTGAAACCTTTCAGCAACAGCCACCTTCAGTTCTCTTCAGACGCCCAAGGATACCCGCCCGACCTTTGGGACGACTAATCATTGTTCTCAGATCGATCTATTATCTGTCTCTTTGCTTCTCTCTCTCTCTATCTCTCTCCTATGTGTTTATGTATAAAAAATATATGTTTTATATATACAGACCTGAAAGAACAGGGGACGGATGGACAATAAAGAGTGTTCTTGATCATCACAGAAGGTTGATTTGACGGGTAGTCAATGCCGGTGCACTCTAGGCAGAGTTAACTCGGCAACTGGACGTCAACTGTCATCGGCTACGTGAACTCTGCCCGGCGGATGGAGGCAAAGTGTAACTAAGGCCTTAGAAGAGTTTAGAGTAAGGAGGAGACAGCGTGACTTAGCGAGACGCTCCATAGCCCTCCAACTGGGTCAGAAGGCGAGTTCTCCGTTCGGCCATCCGGCCACCCTCTCTGATGACCCACACCCCTCGCCCCAACCTCATCATCCTTCCATTCTGTCTGGTGGCTCTTCCGTCTCTTCAACTGGCTCTCGTGGGCTGTCTGCTGCCGCTGCTTCTTCCTCATCAATTGGCTCCAATACCTGGACGGGCCCAGCTAATCTCGGACTATCTACACTTGCTTTGACAGCCTCCGTGCAGCCGCTCATCTTGGCCCCTCACGGAACTGGCTCCACACGCCTTCCCTCCGTCCGCAGCTTGTCGAGACGTCGTGCAACCGCTCATCCTTCAGCAGCCTCTCTTTGGCCACCTCTTTTTTCTACCTCGAACTCTAATCCACACTTCTCACAATCTATCCTCGAGAATACTGATTCTGTAGGAGTTCATATCGACTCAACTAGACCACCGGACCCGCTGATAGGCTCCTCACCTGCCCGCAGTACTCCGCCTAAGCTAATCTATCCCACCTGCAATGATGGCATTCAGACGAGCCGGAAGTCAAGTCAGCCTGTAGACATCTCCTCTACCATTGAACAATGCCACTTTCCTCCAGCATCCAACAGCACTGATTTCGACGACGGATCAAACCAAGCATCAGTACCCACCTCAACTTCCTCGACCACTGGCTCTTCTGTCACATCCTCGGCTTTCACCGTTACAGGCATCACCTGCAATACCGAGGCCCACAACAACAATTTAACCTTATCTTCCAGCTTCACCCCGAAAGTTCTTGCCATCTCACCTATCTCTAGTCTTCCTAGTAAACCAGAGGATGCTTGTTCTGGTGATGCCAATCAAGTCGTCCTTACACTGCCGTCGCACTCTTCCCCTATAGGTCTTTATCATCTCTCACCAGCACTTAAATCAGGCGACACTCGGAAGCCAATATCTGGCGACTACTTGCCTACGAATAGTGGCAATACTAGTCCGGTCAGCATCGTCGGAAGTTGTACTAGTCCCAGTATTTCGCTCAGCCAGACTCATTTTGTATCATCTGCTTCCATCACCAGCACAACCTCTTCTTCTTCTCTACATTCTGTGGATTCTTTCAACTCTGCCAATATTGCTCCACTTGAGCCGACCTCTTCACAAGCATCGACAGTCGAAGCTCTACCATATTCTAGGAATTTTAAGCAAGAAAACCTAGTTATCTGGTCACCATCATTCGATTTTGAAACACCACCTCTATCCTACCTTAAACCTTGTATTTCTCCCATCGAGGCCAACATTAGTGGACTTTCAGCTGCTGCAATGGCGACCCGACCGCCCCCAGCACCCATGACCATAACTGGGTCTAGTACGACATCATCTTCCGCAGCCACAATATCGACGCCAACGTTCAGTAAACCAGGAATCATTAACTTCTCAAACGAACTATTCCGTGGCGGCCGACTTGGCTCGGTTGCCAGCCGCGAATCGTCTTATTCACCACCGGCCGATAGATCAAATCCTGTGCACGCCAGGCGAACCGTTACTGCCGGTTCTGCAAAGGCGGCAGGAGCAGGTTCCGTCAACTCTGGAGTACTAAATAATGCAATGGGGACAGATACGGTAGCATCTGGAGAGCACGCTGCTCTCGAAAATGCGGTGCTTTTTCGAAAACTGGAGTCAGCGGCCCAGGCCCGAGGAGACCTAAAGAAGCTCGATAACCATCAAATGCCTCTTAATGGGAAACATACGGATTCACATAATTTCTCATTTGATTCAGACGAGAACACAGAATCAAGCGACAATTCGGAGGGGCATGAAGAAGGAGAGGTTAGGAATAAGGACGAAAAAGTTCCTGGTTCCAAAAGCGTTAGCCAAACTGGCAAAACTGGTGGCCATAATGATGAATCCGGTTTCCTCTTGCTTGCCACTTCAAGTACGTTTTTGCCTAGCTTCAATATGACTCAAGGCGCTGTTGCCGCCTCTTCCCTCGAACCGAACACCACAACTTCCTCTCAATCTCATTCAGTGAATTCTCCACTCAACTATTTGATGCGATTCTTCGCTTCAGGTGGCCGAGTCATCCAGCTAAAACCAATACCACCTGACTATCCTCATCGTCAAAGGCGACGGAGAGGATTCCAACCTGGCGGTGTTCAGCTTGTTGATGTTGGCGTACAAGCTTCCACTTTGACGGGCTCTGGAGATGTCGGCTGTTGTATTCATTGCTCTCTAAGACCGTTCCACCAACAGCCGTCTGCATCTCTTTCTTCTGCTACAGCTAGTCTGACGTCCGATGCGACGAGCGCAATCAGGGATCGGCAAGCATTGAGCCAATTAACGAAGGTTTCAGCCCCAATTACTGCTCAAATCATCACCAAATTGCCTCTATTTGTTCCTCTCATACACGTGGCGCCCAGCCTGATTCCGTTAAGCAGAGGCGTGCCTCTTCGCCGACCCCGTTTAGGTAACCAGTCCTCCTTCACTGGCCAGACTGCAGGCAGTTGTGCGGCGTCCACTGTCGGAGTTCAGGGATCTGGAGCCAACAGATTTGCTTGGCCAGTTGACGGAGAGATTGTAGACTGCGTCGAGACTCTGCCTGATAGTCCTACTGGGGTGCATGCGGTCGCTTCCTCGTTGTTCTGCCTCTTGGCTACGGAAATTGGTATTAGCAGCTCTATTACTGCTTGTGCAGCCGCATCTGCCGGTTCTGGGCGCGCTGAATTTGAATTTTACGAGGCAGCCTGTGTCGCAGCGCTCGTGATTTGTGGTCCTATTCCGCCACCAACTCTTAGACCTTCGGCGGCTTTGCCACGGCGTTCTGGGCAGCAAGTTGTTAGCACAGTCGTACAAGTTACCAGCTCTAGTGGTGCAGATGGTACAAAACTGCTCAGGGCGGGAAGTGGGTGTGAGATAGAGACGAAAGAATTCAAGAGAACTGTGGATGAGGATGAGGAGGCTAGAGACAATGATGACGACGAGGACTCGACCGTGAATGCTAGTCGCCGTCTTCGACGTCAGTTGAGACGAACACAAAAAACACAAGAGATAAGCGCTGCCGCGGTTCATGAGGCGATCAAGTACAATCAACAACAAGTGCAGCATCAAAAGATGTTGGAGCAACAAAAATTAAAGCCAACCTCTTCAGCCTCTTCGTCTTCTGCCTCCCCAACTTCATCATCAACTTCGTCCGCTTCGTCGCCGTTACCTTCACCAATTAAAGAACCAGCTTCAGTTCAGTCTCAGCAGATGGATAAGGAAAACTCGAAATCTGGTCACCCACCCTCGACAACTGCAACAAGAGCTAATGCAGCAGCCACAATTGAAATCGGAGCAAAGAATGTTATCAGCTCGGCATTGAATAGTATTGCTGGAGCACCTCATCCAACCTCACCGCAACAGTTACCGCCGTCAACAACCCCAACACTGCTACAACAACAGTATTCGTCAGATCTGAAATCACAGATGGCACAGACAGCATCCGCGGCAGCTGCAACACCGACAAATCGGCTTGCGGAGGCCAGGCAACGTGCGAAACGCTATATTGAGCTGCGGAAGTTGAGTATGCAGGAGAATAGCTCCGGAGCGACTTTGATCGGACAAGAGGTAATCACCATCTCTAAGGGCACCTTCTCCTCAAGCCCTGCTTCGTGCATTCCTCTCGTCCAGCTGAACTTATCTCTTCACTTTCTCCCACGTCGGGCTTTTTATTGACTGCATCCTTTCTCCCCAAAATCACTTCCAGACTCGTATTTGCTCATTATATCTTTTCATCCAATAGTTTACTTTGATCCACACCCAATCTGTCATCCTTAAGCTCGGATATGGAGTATACTAAAAGGCTAGATCGATCCATTCTCTTATAAATCCCAAGTACTCAGCTGGTTAAATTTTAATTATATGTTTTTTATTCTGAGAGAATCTAAATCATGCCTTGCAGGTTTTTAGGTCCAAAATTATTAGATGACACTTTTTATATCTGCTGGGTGCCACTATATTTTTCCATAATATCTACCTTATGATGATATTCTAGATGCTTAGTTGTCTTTTTATTGTGACATTTAGATTTCTTATAATGTTACAATGTTTATTGAAAAAGTTTTTGGATATTATTAATAGGCCAACCTATTTCTCAAAATCTATTCTTCAGCGAAATAAATTAAGATCCTATAGTCATTCGGAAATATTGTTCTTTCTGATAATTCTGCATTTTGTTTTTATTCCAACTCGAATTAATAAGGAAAATTTTGCTGGGCCGTCCTTATTTACCTCCTTTTCAATCAATCGCACTTTTTTATCAATATTTTTATTAGTATTTTCCAAATTTCTTTAGTTCAAACATAGGATTATTGAACTTTCATCAGCCAATAAGCTAATGCTTTGTCATAATTGTACACAAAGACTCTTAAGTAAATTCGGCTCTGCTGATAACTACTTTCTGCAAGGTAAAGATGACAATTTTTCAGGAAATTTGAACTAAATCCATCTGTGTTCTTACTTTTATACCAAACAGTTACCAACCCTATTTATTACGTGATTTCCATATAAAGTAGAGTGTTTATTTTAACAAATATTTGTTTATTTAATATATTACAGTTATAGAATTTACTTAGACTAAGCCAATTAAAATTTTCCATGATTCCCTTTTATAAACTAGGCTAAATAGGTGAACGTCTAATTAAGAAATCAGCCTTGTTTGTGTATGACTTAGCCTCTAATATGATTTATATATTTTGCAATATTCTCCCATCCAGATCTGGTAGTCGAATAAGAATGGTCATGTTATGGAACAGAGTATAACTTTTAAATGACGATAGTCTCCTAGTTCTCATTGAATACCCTCACCTAAATAAATATAGTCACTAGATAAATTCGAAACAGATGCACATATCTTAAAGGGGATGATTATATTGTGTTTTTAATTTATTTTTTATTGTGAAATTCATATTTATTATTTTGGCTTTATTGCTATACCCATTGCATTATTTTACGTTAGATACTATCAAGGTTGCCTTATCTTAATTATTTCTTTGCATTATAAAGCTGTATTTAATGTGGCTACCTTGACTATTCACAGCATATTGTTGGCTTGCAAGAAATCTCACATTCACGTCCCAGAATTTAATGTTGGACTCGATGGAACTTATACTTAGATTTTAATTTGATTCCCATATCGCATAACGGTTCATAAATTCTGATTTTGTGGTTAAATTATTTTCTTTGATAAAAAATGCTTTTGGTGGAAAGTACTTACCAAGACATAGGTCGCTATTCTAGCGCCAACACTCATCTCCAGGTCTTTAATATTCTTTACTTGGCTTGTTTATTATTTAGTTTATCAATTAATCTTAATTCATAGAGCATACGCAAATCTTAGTTGTTTTTATTATTGCCATTCCGGCTTTTCAGCATCCAGGTATTTCTCAGTGCCTCAGTTTTCTTCAGATCTTTTGGTTTGTTTTGAGCCTCTCCGCATACGTCTTAAATGAAGTTGTTGGGCTGTTGCTTTAAGCTTACAGTAGGATTATACTCTTGGGCTCTCGTGTTGACCTGGGTATCTTTTGCGATGAAAAGACTTGATCATTCGGGGTTTGTTTAAATAGCAATGAAAAAATCTGGTATGGTATATCGAATAATCCAGCATTTATTTATCCCTCACGCTATTGTCCAGTTTCACTTTGATGATTGCCGATTCATATATGATGTTGTATGGATTTACTTCTCAAATTTGAACTAGCATAGGCCTCTGTCAATTAAAGCCTTTCTCTTTTTTTTGAATTATAGTTTTATTACTAGTATTGCCTAATCTAATATTGTTCTAATTTTTTTCATAAGTGTGCTTACTTGGAATCAAAACTATGCTGAGCTTTACTTATTTAATTAATGCTTAAACCAGTGGTTCCCAAACTTTTCCTAGTCGCGGTGCCCTTTTTCAATTAAAATTTTTCCATGGCGCCCTACC